GCTCCTTGTGGCCACTCTACTCTAGGGGGTGGCGACACAAACACTGTCGCTCTATCCCGACCATTAACCTAGGTAACAAAAGGGAGTGAACACAGTAAGTTTCCACTTACCCTACCACAATATAAGACTACCGGTACGCGGCAAGACGAGTTACCTTTGGGGGAGGTCGAGCAAGCTTGAAAGCATGCTCGATGTCGCTCAATCTGGCATAATTTGGATCAGCTAAGTTAAATAGCTCGCCAATTCTAGCTTTGACTTCGATTTTATCAAGCGCTCTCTGCCTCATTCTCGTTGGGTCTGCGCTGCCTTGATACTCATAGCCAGGATGTACCCTCCTCTGGCAGGGCTGGACCCATCGGCTGATGAAACTCCCGACTACGCTCGGGCTTCTCCGACCAGCTCGTCTTCTTCTCCGAAATGTAGCCCGCGTCGCACAGCGTGATCGTGTTCGGCTCTTCGCGGATGTAGAACCATTTTTTGTACCAGTCATCGAGCGACGTGTTCCATGGGCAGTGTAGGTACTGGGCTTTCATGCCGTCACAGAGGTTGAGGTATACACCCCTGGCTATCTTCAAACCACCGCTTCCTTTCTTCCGCAGACAGAAAAGATGGCAGAAAAAATCGAAATGTGGCTGGAAGCCGCCATACGCCTCGCACAAATGAATAAAAGTGGCGACAAGGAGGATCGAGTTGGGATGCAGATTGCAAATCCCAATCTCGTAGTAAAGATAGAACCCCTGAAGAAACGGATGCATCGGAACTCCAAATCCCCGTTTAAAGAAATCCTCGAACACCACGATCTCACCTGGTTGTGGATCAGGGTACCTCTCGCCCTCCGGCGCACGCCATCCTACGAGCTCCTTGTTGTGGAGTACCCCCATGGTGACAAGGTCTTCAATGGTCTACTCGTTGCTTTTCGACTTCCACCATTCCTTCGCCATGACCCCTGTTTTCTTCTGCGCATCACTTTTCGCCATTTCCTTTTGTTTTCCACCTCTGACTCCGGCCTTGCTGGTGAACGGGGAGTGTGCTGATCTTCAACAATAGCGGGGGATTAGCAGGGGCGGCAGTCGAAGTGGCGGTGGATTGATTGGTGGCGATTTCGGATGTGTTAGGGTTGGTTGGCGAGAGGAAGACGAAAGCTGCGGTTGCGAATGGCAATGGGGTTTGGTAAATAGTAACTGACCTATCATGTACCGTATTTAATCCAAGAGTTATGCCTTTTCGTCTGCCCGGGATTCTTGGGGGACGTGCGCACGCGCCATAGACGGCTGTTTTCACGTTTGTAGTATTACTCAGCCCCGAGATCTACGCCAATATATGTGCCTCTTTGTTGCCAGTGTGGGAGGGCCCATGCTGACGCACCTACTGACAGGTGCCACGCAATTGTTTGCTTGACAAGACAAAAAGGCAGTAGGACGTGCTATACCCGTCTACTTTTTTGACCAGACGTGTCAGACCGGACTTGTCAGAACAAATAAATAAATAAAAACATAAAATAATAGTAATAGTGGCATATGGTTTTTTGCCACACTTTTTGTGCTTGGGGACTGTACTGACCACCCTCGTGCTCGGGGACTATCGAGAATATCCTTGTGCTTGGGGACTGTCTCGACCACTATCGTGCTCAGGGACAGTTCCGACCACTCTCGTGCTCGGGACTGTCTCGACCGCCCTCGTGCTCGGGGACTGTCCCGACTACCTTTGTGCTCGGGGACTGTCCCGACTATGGTTATTCTCGGGGATTCGTCGTTTTCCCCATGCTGCGCTTGGGGACTGCCCCGACCACTCTCCGACCATTGCTCGGGGACCGCTCTCCTCGGCTACATGTGATTTGTACTCACATACAGTTGAGAGGAATTTATTTTTTCTCACTTAGACCTTGCTACAAGGCTGATAGCTCGCCTTCCAGCAAGCTCGGGGACTACATCGGTACGATGCACCTGCCGGTGCAGCTCGTATCGCTTGTACGACGATTGGATTCTCAACTTAACTGGGAATTCTTTTTAGACCCTGGCACCACGTGCCTACATCACCTACTACCAGGCTCGGGAACTAAGTGGGCACACTTCACCTTGCGGTGAATGTGCTTATTTTATCGATCCCTACGCTCTGACTGTTGGCCATAACTATTCCTGTATAAGGGTCACTTACATTTCTTTTCAGAAATACAAGTGGGCACACTTGATCAGGAAAGAAATTTTTTTCTTTTTCTTTTTTCTTTAGAGCACCATTCATTCTTCGGACAACCGGAATCTTCGGCTATAATCGTGGTCTACTGCTCTCTGTGCTGACCAGAATACTGGCACATTTGCTTGGTCAATGTTTCAACCAGTTGGAGATGACATGAAGACAGACCGCATTAGCCGAAGAAGATCAAACGGCGTGTCGCAACATAATACATGGTGCTCGGGGACTAGCTGTGGGGGTATTAACCCCTATACCCTTACGGCTAAGTTTGGGCCGACCCAGACTAGGGGGTCCGGCCCACCAGAAGACGACGCGTGGGCCAGCCGATCTGCTCGAGTCCCGCGCAAGGAATCAAGGCAGACTTGGAGATCAAGCAAGATTCTGGTCGGTTAGAATATGAATCCTTATCCGGCCACCTATGGCAATTGTAACCGGTTGGGATTAGTTTCCAGATCTATAACCCTGTCCTCCAGACTATATAAGGCGGGCAGGGGACCCCTCTCAAAAATCATCTCATTTACATACAGCAATACAATCAAACGCAGGACGTAGGTATTACGCCCTCACGGTGGCCGAACCTGGATAAAACCTCGTGTCTGTCTTGCGTCACCATCTCGTTCGTAGCTTGCACACCTGTCTGCCGATAATCTACTACCTTGGGCATACCCCAGGTAGACTGCCAATCATATTTCGTCAACATGGTCCAAAAATAATAATCAATGTTCATTTCACCCGGCCAGTGGTTATTAGAAGCTTAGAGCAAACCTTATTAGCTGCCTCTGCAAGAGGATTCCCTCAGCAGTTGCTACCGGCACTTGCTTGTCTCTCATTATATATTGCTGCATACGATTGTCTACTGATTCATTGAAAGAACAATGATGAAGTAAACTATTGGAAGAATAACAATGAAGTACTAGTAAAATAGAGAAATGCTAGCCCCCACGTACTTCAGGTCCAATTGAAAATTGGTTGTCCGATTGTACGTAGCTGGCAAGGAATTGAGTTTATCGGTTGCATCATGAAACGATCTGGTGTGAAATCTGTTGCATCTTCCTTTTTCTCTTTAATGTGTTGTTGAATTCTCAAACAAATTAAATATTGGGACAAATATATAGACACAATATCTAATACAGGAAAGATTTTTTTTCTAACAGCTAAAAACGATCTTCAGGGTCGGTTCATAAAACCATCACAAGAATTGCAAAGTTCAGTTCAATAATTTTCAGGCCTTGTTTGATACATGTGTATTCACTTCAATCCACATGTGTTGGAGTGGAATTGAATAGAACTTAGTTTAATTCCACTTCAACACATGTGGATTGAGATGAATACATACGCATCCAAACAAGGCTAAGGAAGAAGCGACCTGCCCCTGCAATATAGTAACGATTCCAAGGCGTTGAGCAGTTTAAAACTTCACGTTTTAATTTGCAGTTGGTACCGGCACTCGATCATCTCTATATATATAGTATAACATACTGATCGAAAGAACAATGTTGAACATATGAGTAATTAAAGAACTGTGAAGTAGTACTAATTAAGCATACTAGTGAAATAATACAGTATATATATATGCTCATTCGTTTCGCTTGTCCGATTGAAAACGGGATATGGAATATATACAATGGATGACAGCAATGGAATGTTCTTGCGTGAATGAAATGTGTTGCGTCCTCTTCTTCTTCTTTTTTATGCCGCAGAATTAATTATTCTCATGGAATATGTACAATGGATGACAGCAATGGGTCAACGAAGATACTCACCGGATAAGGGGATCATGTTTCAAGATAAAAGACACAGAATAAAATGACGAACTGTACGTGCGTAACCTTCATCAAACAAACGAGTAATTAAGTGGCTCGCTACAACTACAAACATCGGGGGGCCTACAAACATCGGGTTGAGTATGGTTACTTGTAACTACATGCGTACCAGCTTTCTAATTAGGGCCTGTTTGATCCACCCAACTAAAGTTTAGCCAGCTAAAATTTCGAAGCTAAGCTATCTAAAATTTAGCCAGCTAAAAGTTCTCTCAGCTAATTAAACTTTAGCTAAGGTGTTTAGATCATTCAGCTAATAGACTCAACTAAACTTTAGCTGAGTTTACCTGAGTTGATGTAGCTAAACTTTAGCTGGGCCGTTTAGATCACAGCAGCTAAATTTAGCCAACTAAACTTTAGGGTCTGTTTGGATCCACTAACTAAAGTTTAGCTGGCTCAATTTAGCTGTTAGGGATCGAAATGACCTAGCAAAAAACGAGCTAAAGTTTAGCTACTTCAAACTCAGCTAAACCCAACTAAAGTTTAGCTGAGTCTATTAGCTGAACGATCTGAACACCTGAGCTAAGTTTAGCTCAAGGAACTTTTAGCTGGCTAAATTTTAACTTTAAAATTTTATGGAACTAAACTTTGTTTGGGTAGATCAAAACAGGCTCTTAGTCGGCGGATCCAAACAGACCTGCATGCAGGTCGATCATTAAACAATGCTCAAGTCAATCTCTGGTCGTTGTAGCCATGTGCATGCGATCGTCGTTGGAACAGTGTTTGTCCGTTTCAACCATGCATGCATTTCTATTGGAATAATCTAATAATATCAGATCCTTTGCCTGCCTGTACGACCATTGCTGCAGACCCTAACCCTAGCTAGTGTACGTCTACTCGAGCTCGACCCTAACCCTAGCTAGCTATATAAGCACCACCATTGCTGCAGACATTCCTCACCTCCAACCTCCAAACCTGTCTACTGTCTCTACTATCTAGTAGCAGCTGCAGCAGGGATCGATCGCCAGGCGCCATTTCCGAGCTAGCAAGATGGGGAAACGTTTCCTCCACCAGCTACTCGCCGTCGTCCTTGCACTCTTCGTCTCGCCGGCGAGATCGGGCGACTGGCTTCCGGCCACGGCCACGTTCTACGGCGGCGCTAATGGCTGTAACAATCTAGCTACCTTTGTCTTTGCGTTGTTCAGGGTACGCATGCATGCATTGCAACACATATATGTGTGTCGACTTTGATCTGATCGATGAGCACGTACGTACGCATGCAGGTGGTGCGTGCGGGTACAGCGACCTGTACGAGCAGGGCTACGGCATCAACAATGCGGCGCTGAGCACGGCGCTCTTCAACGACGGCGCGTCGTGCGGACAGTGCTACGTCATCATCTGCGACAGCAGCAAGACCGGGTGGTGCAAGCCCGGCAACAACTGGGTCGTCGTCTCCGCCACCAACTTCTGCCCGCCCAACTGGGACCTCCCCGCCAGCGGGGAGCTTCCCGCCGGCGGCTGGTGCGCCCCGCCCCGCCCCCACTTCGACATGTCCCAGCCCGCCTAGGAGAACATCGGCATCTCCACCGCCGGCATCATCCCCGTCCTCTACCAGCGGGTCAAGTGCTGGAAGAGCGGCGGCATGCGATTCACCATCGCCGGCTTCGACCACTTCTACATGGTGCTCATCACCAACGTCGCCGGGAGCGGCTCCATCCAGAGCATGGCGGTGAAGGGCGCCAACACGGACTAGATCCCCATGTACAGGAACTGGGGCGCCAACTGGCACTGCCTCTCCGGCGGGCTCGTCGGACAGGGCCTCAGCTTCGCGCTCATCTCCACCGGCGGCCAGAACATCATCTTCCAGGACGTCGTGCCGGCGTGGTGGCAGTTCGGACAAACTTACACCACGTACCAGAATTTCGACTACTAATAAAGTAATAAGTGTGTGCACAAGTTAATTTATCGGATCCTCCAAGACCAGGGAATTAAGCGTGTGCTGATTAAGTGATTCTATATTGCTTCATGTCATTTGTAGTGTGTGGGAATCATCTAGCTATATTATTATACATAACCGCCAACTGATCATTGGGAGTATATCTATAGTATATATGTTGTAACTTGTAAGTAAAGTACTTGGTTGAGGGCTCTCTCCCCTTGCTTCTTTTCTTGCTGCCCTGGTTGCTCCAAATCGCTTACCACTGGCTTGGTGGTTTATAACAAGCTGCGCTTCGAGGGCTTTCTCGTGGTCATGTCGTCGTGTAATTCTCTTCCTCTTAATGAAAAACGTGCTAAGGCACAGTTACAAAAAAATACTTGGTTATTACTTATTAGTACTGTGTTTGTCACTGATTTTATTTGTGCATTTAAAACTTCCACCCACGAATTGTTCTTTGCTTCACCCATGAAAGCTGCATCTAGAGTTAATGATGAAGATAAAGACTGTATTTATTTCTCTGTGATCATTTTTCATTGAAAAATAAAATTTGAATCATAAATCAATTGTTTACTTTTTTAAGGCCATCAAGTTGTCGAGGATGTTCAAGACTTTTTTTGCCTATGTTAACGTTCTTTGCCAATGATAATCGTACCCATTTTGCTAAATTCTTTCATCACTTTGTTATAGTCGCACCCCCTCTATTTTGCTCTAATTTCACCAGTGGGCAGTGAGCCAGTGTGTCATTGTTCTACTGCAGGGCCAAGACATGACCCGGCATTAGCATGTCACTGACAGGTTGTTGCCTGATCCGACAATAATATCCCCCATACACTGCCGATTGGTGGCTCAACCGGCAATGATAGGTGACTTCACTGCTGGCACTTGGATTCCAAACATTTGGCTGAATCTTATGTACTTTACGACACAGTATGTCAAAATCTTAGAGCAAAGCTTAGCTGTCTCTGAAGGATTCGCTCACCATTTGCTACCGGCACTTGTACGTCTCTCGTTGCTAATATATATTCCAACTTAATATTCTAGCTTAATTTCTCTAATAACAACAAATATTCCACATCCATGAGAAAATGTTCTAACTGAAAATATTTCAGCTTAAATAAAAAATGTTCTAACTCAAAATACTGCATTATCGTTCTTTATTTCTCTTCTAAATAAACATGTTGACAATATGTTCAACTGTGGTCAGATAAATATAATCCAATTTCTGTCTAAGTGTGTGATGGCTAAAACTCCTACTGTTAGGTGACTCGGAATACGGAGAGGAGTTCAAACCTTAAACCGTGTTGCATGATTGTGATTAAACTAACCGGTGTAGAGTTCTCTTAAGCCGTCGCATGATTGCGAATTGCGGTTCCTAAACTAACCGAGCTGATTCAGTTGAGCTTGAAACTGATAGAGCTGATGAGCTGAGCACCACTACTCCATGGGTTATGAGTTATGACAGCAACACGTCTATTATTGAGCCGGTGGATGCAGATGCATGCGGAATAATCCAGGATATGAACAAAAGCAAGCACGCATGCATGTTTTTCTCAATAGTGGTACAATAATTTCAATCTCCTGGCAGAGTGTCATTATTCGCCATGTTTTTTCTCCTTGCAAGGATTTGTATTAAACCAGAATACGGACAGAGTCACATTTTTTGTGTGTGAACGAAGTAAAGCATCACATGGTAATTTGGTCCCTAGCTTCACAAGATAATCCTCTAGATTTTTAACCTAGGAAAAACTCACTATAATTCGAAGTATATTTTACACACATTCCAGAAGAAGAATATCCAAGCCCCTCCAAAGAAAATGGTGCAGCACTGCAGCTTGCTGATAATGATGTATGGTTCTTTATTAATTTAGCTTCTAGTTGGTTGACTTCATGATCTGACAATAGGATGTATTATTGTTTGACAATTGAAATGTTTAATTGGTACAGAAAAAATAACCAATGTCCATTCAATCAGTGGTCAGAGGCTTAGAGGAAAGCTTAGTTGCCTCTACAAGGATTCGCTCAGCAGTTGCTACCGGCACTTGTCTCTCATTGCTACATATATAATTATCTACCGATTCCTTGAAAGAACAATGATATACAAGGTAAAATATCGGAAGAATAACAATGAAGTAGTACGTGTGAAATACTATATCTCCAACGTACATCAGGTCCAATTGAAAATTGGGTTGTCCGATTGCATGTATGTAGGCAAGAAATTGAGTTTATCCGTTGCAATCATGAACGATCTGGTGTGAAATCGACTTGGGGGAGCCAATTGAAGGACATATTATATTTTTGTGCTATTTATTAAATGTTTAGTTGTCCGAGAAGAATTGCAAAGTTCAGTTCATCACCGGTTGTTAGAGAGAACGTACCTACCTGCCTCTGCAACAATAGAGATTCCAAGGCGTTGAGCAGTTTAAAATTACTTCGTCACGTTTTAATTAGCACTTGGTACCGGCACTTATCTCCGTATATAGTTTATATAGTAACATACTGATCGAAAGAACAATGTCGAACATATAATAAAGAACTTGGAAGTACTAATTAAGTACTAGTGAAATACTACAGAATATCCTGCTTCTCAATTCATTTGTTTCGCTTGTCTGATTGAAAACTGATGGTCGAAATGTATGTTGCCAAAACAATTGAGTGGTTGCATTTTATATGACAACACCTGCTGTCTTTGTGACCAAGACAGTGAAACAATGGATCACCTTCTCTACTCGCTTGTGTCTTCTCGCCAGAGAAGCTTGGTGCCTCCCTTTTCCGATGAATACAATAGCGAGCGACGAGCTGGCTCGCTGTTGGCAGCATGCACGGAGGATCATCACTAACAATGCTCATCTTTTGGTTTATCTGGAAAGAAAGGAATCGCCGGATCTTTGATGAAGTCTCCAGCACAGCGGCAAAGCTTCCTGGAAGAGCGGAACTATGCTGGGTGGCAGCAAGGTTCGTCTCCACGTCGGTCTTCTTAGCACACGCGCCTAGCTAAGCTAATTGAGAGTTTCTGAATCCTAGCTAGTCGCTTAATGTGCAACTATGTAAATATGTAATATGTCCAAATCAAATTACAGGTGGTGTGTGTGTCCCTCCTTGTTCGCTTTGTATACTACCGGCACCTTGCTCGCTAGTAGACAAAGACCTGTACACTCTCTACACTCTTAATGAAACACGTGCATGGAGCACGTTAGCGAAAAAAAAATATGTTCTTGCATGCATGAAATGTTTAGCATCTTCCTTTGTTTTGATGCCCACCCAATAAGGGGAATTGTTTTCAAGATCAAACAACGAGTAAGCTCCCTACAAACATTTTGGTGAATACATCTTATTTGTTTGCCTAAAATTGAACTTTTTCTTTTGACGAAATTTAATCTGGATGGTCGAGTGGTTGTAACTAGTACAATACAGCAGACTACTGAGTACGAAAATTGTTTTCTAAACCTTTATCTCATTTTGGATGGAAGAAACAAACAATATAATGCTATGCGTAGACGACTGTGTACCGGCAGTTCGATCATTAAATAAACAACGCCCAATGCAAGTCAATCTCTGGTCGTTGCAACCATGTGCATGCGATCGTCGTTGGAACAGTGTGTTTTTGTCCGTTTCAGTATGTGAATGATGGGATAACCATGCATGATTTCTGTTGGAATAATCTAATATCAGATTCTTTGCCGTACGTCTCCTCGAGCTCGACCCTAGCTACCTAGCTATATTAGCTCCACCACTGCTGCAGACATTCCTCACCTCCAACCTCCAAACCTGACTACTGTCTCTACTACGCTCTCTAGTAGCTAGCAACGTCTGGGAGACTGGGACAGGGATCGATCGCCGGCCATTTCTGAGAGCAAGATGGGCAAACGTTTCCTCCACCAACTGCTCCCCATCGTCCTTGCACTCTTCGTCTCGCCGGTGAATCCGGCGACTGGCTTCCGGCCGGCCACCGCCACGTTCTACGGCGGCGCTGACGGCTCTGACACAATGGGTGGATAACCTATAGCTACCTTTGTCTTTCATTGGGTCATGGGTGTGCAGACTTTGATATGATCAACGAGCACGTACGTATGCAGGTAGCGCGTGCGGATACAGCGATCCGTACGAGCAGGGCTACTGTTAGCCTACTAGGATCACCGGTTCAGGTGAGTCGACCACTCCTCAATCTTGGCGACCGCGGCCGAGCACGATAGAGGCTGTCCGACCACACACATTATGACTAGAGGTAGAAGAAGAGGGAGAACAGAGCATACACACACTACAAGCACCAGCGTTGGCCGGAGCCCTGTATAGGAGATGACAAAACTGAACTATTTTTGTTGAGTTGCAATGGCAAACTATATATACAACTCTACCAATCTAGTCCTAGTACAGCTCCCATGCTGCTACAGTGACTAGATAACACAGCGGGACTGACTTCTGTGCCTGTCCCTGCATGTGGCTACAGTACAGCAGGTGAGTCGTTCGGCGCCTGCCTCTACAGCAGCTACAGTACCACAGCAGGGGCCCTTTTCGGCGCCATCTTCCCTTGCTGTGTGTTCATACAAAGAAGTAGTAGATTATCTAACAATTCTTCCCATAATCCTATTGCTATCCCTGGTACCCCCTCCATGCCGATTATCTCCTTCAGC